CAGGTTGTCCTATATCCATATAAGGGAATACACCTCAGCAGTTAAAAGTACTGATGCATGCAATCTTCATGACAGGTTGCTGAGTAAAAGAAGCTGGACACCAAAGAGTACATGCTCTGATTCCATTTATGTGCAACTATAGAAAAGACAAGTCTAATTTATAATGACAGAAAATAGATTAGTGTTTCTTTGGGTTTGGGGTTCTTTCAGACAGCTTATTCAAAACAGCACAAGGGTACCATTTCAATTAATAGGAATAGTCTATGTCTGGATTATGTTAAATGAATGTATGCTTTGTCAAAATTTATTAAACTTTTTAAAAATTGGCATATACTATTGTATGACAATTGTATCTCTATAAAATTGACTGTAAAAAAATCAGAGTACATGTTTGTCAGCTGACTGTGCAATAGAGGAAGTTTGTGAAGTGGAATATATGTAGTAGGAGAAATTAACCAAAATGCAGCTAAGTAAAGAGAAGGATATATAAAATACAGGAGAGAGAGCAGCATGTAAGCATTGTAAGAACAACTTGGATACTTTGGATTGGATTGTAAGGAAGGATGTTAACATCAACAGATGTTCACTAAAGGAGGTACCTTGGGCAGAAGGAAAGTATTCCTAGATGAATGCTCTGAGATATGATTAGGAATGAAGAGCAATGACAGTAAATATGTGTGCAAACATAAAAGAACATAATGTTTTAGTGAAGTACATGAAGTAATAACAAATAGGAAGGAAATCTAAGTCCTGGAAGGATGAGAAAAGATTTTGATTAATTTTAGACTTATACCCTAATTTCTGGGAGAACCTCGAGAAGAATAGAGATAGAAGGCATAATTTTCATACTGATAAAGGAGAAACAAAATTGAATGAAAAATACTCAGTCAATTTCAAAATGTGAAAGAAAGGAGAAAAATGGAAGCTGGATACAAATAGAACAAAAGTAGATAAGGAATTTAAACCCAAATATAAACTTTTAAATTTAAATTACTAAATTCTGACGAAATGTTGTAGTGTTTTAAAAAAGAAATTCCATGTTATTTAGTAATACAGAAAGGTTATAAAGAAATAACTGAAAATGACCTTATGGAAACAGTAACCAAAGTTGTTTTATAGCTGTGTAATATTAGACCATATAGTTGAATACGAAAATCATTCCTAGAAATAAAATGGGTCACTTCATAATTATATAAAGTTCTGTTCACCAGGAAGATAAAACAATTAGAAGGACTTGATAATATAGCCTCAAAAACTTACAAAACAAAATTTTAAAGAGCAGTAGACAAAGCCACAGTTTTATAGGAGATTTTGCATACTTCTTCTCAACAATTCATAGAAAAAACAAACATTAAAAAACAAAAATGAGTAAGGATGATTAAAGAACACAAATAACATGTTAACCTAATGAACAAATATAGAATGTTGCATCCAACAATTTTAGAGTACATATTCTTTTTAAGTATATGTAGAGAACTTTCAAAAATTGTTTATATCAACTATAAAGACAGAAAATTTCAAAGGATTGGAATGATGTTGGGCATTTTTGACTACAGTGTAGAAATCTGTAAAAAGGGTAGACTATCCATATATATTTGGAAATTAAGAAATATGCTTCTAAAAAACATGAATCCAAAAAGAAGTCATAATGGAAATTAGGAAATATTTTGACTCAATGATGAGAAAATAATGACACATCAAAAGTTGTGGAATGCAGCTTAAAGGAGTACATAGATAGAAACTGATAACTTTAAATGCATATGTCAGAGAATAAGAAAGGCTGAAAGTTAATAAGCTGCAAATCCATTACAGGAAGGAAAAATATAAGAGCAAAATAAACACTAAATAGAGGGCAGGAAGAAATAAAAACAGGCACAGGAATTAATGGCTAAGAAAACAAACATATAGTAGAGAAGATCAAGGAATCAAAAAAAGAATTCTTATTAGATCTAAAAAAATGAGAAACTTCTAATGAGCTTGACCGAGAAAAAAGAGAAATAAATGAAGTGTAGAATGAGAAGCAAAAATGACATGACTGCAGAGCTGTTGACATTAGATAGATAAAAGCATATGAAGAAACATTTTATGCAAATAAATTAGAAAATATAGTTGAATGGGTAGGTTCCCAGAAAACTATAACTAATGTGAGAAACAGAATATATGAGTAGTCCTTTGATGGTTAAATAAACTTGATCATTAAGTACTTCAGAAAGACTATTCCCAGTTGACATCCCTGACATGTTTTTTTAGCTGTTCAAGCATGGCATCTTACATTTCCTAATTTTTTCCCAGAGAGTGGAAAAAGAAAGAACATTTCCACTCATATGAGAGTACATAACATTGATGTCAAAGCTTGACCCAAGTACAAAGGAAATTTATAGATCAGTCTCATTGGTGAACATTAATGCAGACATATGAAAGGAATAATCAGGACAGGAAACCTAGCAAATATATCTGATGATAATATTGGGTTTTCCCAGGAATGGAAGAAGATTGGTTTAATATTCAGTGTAATTCTCCATATTAAGAGATGTAAGACAGAAAAATTACAAGGTTATTGCAATAGATTCAAAGTAAGTTTGGTACTCAACCACAAGAAATAATGAAATTTTGCCACTTGTAACAACGTGGATGGGCCTGGAAGGTATTATGCTTCATGAAATAAGTCAGACAGAGCAAGACAAATACTGTATGTTTTCACTTATAAATGAAATCTAAAAAGTTAAACAAGTAAACAAATATAACAAAACAAACGGACTCAAGATACAGAGAAGAAACTAGTAGTTACCAGAGGGAAGAAGGGTAAAATAAGTGAAGGGGATTGAGAGGTACAAACTACTAGGTATAAAATTTTTAAAAAATTACAAGGTTGTCATCTACAGTACAGGAAGTATGGTCAGTATTTTATAATAGCTTTACATAGAGTATAGTCTATAAAATATATTGAATTATTGTGTTGTATGCCTTAAACATAGTATTGTAAGTAGATTGATTGATTGATTGATTGATTGATTTGGTAAAAATTCAAGGTCTTTTCATGGCAGGGCCCCCAGCCCCCCAACTTTCAGCAAGCTAGACATAGAAGGAACTTCTTAATGTGATAAGTAGTATTTATCTTAAAGAATACAGAAAACATATTTAATGATGAAAATTGGAATGCTTTCCCATTTACATTGGGTATAAGTCAAGGATGCTCACTATCACCACTAATTTTCAACATTATAATGGAGTCCTAGCTAAAGCAATACGGCAAGAACAGGAAAAAGAAAGCAATAAGGATTGGAAAGGAAAAAACAAAACTACGATTATGTATAGATGATATATTTGTGTATGTAGAGCATTTTCAGATAAATTGTTATAGTTACGGAGTTCAGAATGTTTAGATACAAAGTCAGTTTACAAACATTAATTGTGCTTCTACAAGCCTACAAGAAATAGAACTTTAAAGATATTTATAATAGCACCAACACTATGCAGTATGAATAAATCTTTACAGGCTATCTATATCTATATATATATACTGTGATCTTACCTACTGAAGAGTTGAGAAACCCGATAGAATAAAAATGTAAGTCCTTACTTGCTTTCTTCTTAAGGCGTTAAGGCTCTTTCTTTCAAGCTTAAGTCTAGGAAATGTACATTGTTTAAATTCAGTATACTTATGTAGGGAGAGGCTATACATTTTGTCTAAAATACCAGAGAATAACATCCTAAAATAGTGGTTTGCAATATTATTTTTGAAGTAAATTGATCATAGCAGAATTGAGTATCTTACTAGTAGAGATTTGGGGCTCATTCAGTCTGAATTTTTATCCAATGTGAAAGTCTTCTGTAGCATTCTAAAAAGTATTCTCTGGTGGAAGTTCATTCATTTTTCTGCTTGAATTTTCTACTCATGGGAAATCGTCTTGAATTATTTTACCAAGATTTTATTAAGTACATATTTACCATGTACTGTGATAGCGCCTTACTTTGTCAAATTTAAGACATCATTTGTTATAAGATGCATTATTTCTTCATCTTATAGTAAATGAAAAAATATTGCCACTTTTTGACACACCATCGATTTTAATATTCATTTTGATTATAGAGATTTTAAAACATTTAAAAAAGCATTTTATAATTTATGGAACATTTCTACAGAAGTATTTCTACTGTTTTACAGTTTAAGAATACTAATCTACTTTATTTTTCATTTTTTCAGATCTATCATGCTTTCTTTAGTTCTTTTTCCTCTATAATTTAAGCATCGTTAAATTTCTTCCTTTTCTTGGTATCCCAGTGATTTTGTCATCCTGGTCATTTTTCGTTGGATGCCTTGTAGTTTATCAATAACCTGCTTAAAATTGAATATGATACAGACTTCAAAAAGCAAATTGTAAAATTAGCCAGAAAGTAAAATGCTTCTGTAAGCATTTCTGTAATTCATGAACTAGAGCTTTGTTAATAAGATTTTCAGTAATGTTTTTCCTTAAAACAAGGCGAAATTGTTGTTTTAATTTTTACAAGAAAGTTTAAATTTAAACATTTTTCACAGCAAGAATTTCTCTCCATTGACACTCATTTACTCATTTTTGTAACCGAGGTTAAAGATGCTACTTTAAGTTAACATTTTTTGTAACCAGTATAAACAATTATAATACATGTCTCTTCTAATTATTCTTCTCCTCTTTACAAAATCATTGCAAAACAAATCTGCCGATTATTTTAATCTGGAGATGTTTCTAAATGATAAAAATGTTTATTTGTTTTAGTAGTGAATATTCACATTTGAGTATTTACCTTTTTTACAATATCATAATTCCTGGTAGTCATTGTGTGATTTCTTACTATGTTGTATACATTGCCTAGTTCAGCTTCATTCAACTAAAGGAAAAATGACACCTCATAATATGTTAAATTTATAATTTTCTGATTTGTGTAGAGTTTATGGTTTTTTGATTATTATAAAATTAAGCTTTTTTAGTAGTTAATACACTTTTCTCTCTTTACTAACACAGGTTTTGAGAGTATTTTAGAAGGGCTTTATGGACCACGGCTACGAAGAGACCTCAGTTTATTTGAAGGTAATTTTTTAAAAATTTTATTAAAAAATTTTAACCTGTCCATTTTACAAATGAAAAAACTAGTTGTTTTATACTAACTTTATATTAAAATGAATTTGTGATCTCATTTAATTAGAAAATATTTTTTAAATAAAATGATGCAAATATTATTTCTATTATTACATAATGTTATATAATCTTTTAAAAACTTTTAGTACACTGATCAGAATAAAAAATGAAGCTTGTTTTTGGCTTGGTGGTAAAATTTAATTTTTGTTATTTTACATATTATGTGCCTAACTTTTTTTTAAAGAGGACTTAAAGGGGTTCGAGTAAATATATATCTCCTGTTGCTTATGATTTGGGTGGCCTAGACCTCAGATTGTCACTCTGAGAAATCCTGCCATGTGTGTTCAGAATTTTATATTTATATATAACCCTATTTGTTATTCACTATAGCCTCCTCTTCCAAACATTCTAACATAAATCCTGGAGGGAGATTTTGATCTATGCTATAATTGCTGTGCTATAGTTTAGTTTTTTAATTGTTTACTTGGAAATGTAGAGCACTAAGAACATTTTGGTAGACATTTGAAATTTTATAGTACAGTTCATTCACAAAATGGGCAGTGCTAGTATATGTATTTTTTCTACTTTGATTTTGATAGAATTATTTCTTAGTCTCATGCCTGGTCAATTTTATATACTAACTCTTATCTTCTGTAAACTCTGGTACTTTCCATCCTTCAAAGACCCAACATATCTCTAAAAGTCCTTCCCTCTTGTATAAATAAGTCTTTTGAGTTGAGTGAGTGATAGTGATAGTGGGAGTATTTGAAGTTTTCTACTCATTCTTTATTAATGTTGAACAGGGTAACTGAGTTATGAATCATATAGCTGAAAACATTTATGGAGAGATCATTTGTCCCAACCAGCCATCTTCTGTCAGATGAATAATATCCCTGCAGAATATGACTTTTAGAATGGAGACCCCAAAATGTGCCTTTTCAGTGTTTTATCATTCTTATGGCTGAGATCTTTTTCTTATATCTCTTAACTTTACTCATTTCTTATTTTATCATAGTTTAACACTAAATTAAATATTTTACCTGACATATTTATAACCAATACTAATTATAGTTTCACCTGTTTTTCTGAGCATGTAAATGAAGAAAAGAAAAATCTAATGAAACAATTTAACCTATGCTTGATATTTCTTCAACCTTCCCTTTTTAACCTGCTCTCTTCATTCGTATCAGAAGGCAGCATTATGCTTAACGGCCTTTTATAACACAAGTTGCAAGCCTCTTGTTTCCCCCACTTTCATTTATTTATTTATGTAGTATGTATATATTTATGTTTCTTCAGAAATTAGTTGTTTATTACATAAAGGGCAGAATGTCCTAAGGAAATAAATTTTTTATATTTTATTTTTAGACTAGTTTTTTCTTAGTATTTAAGTAATGTATGTTCATTTTTGGAAATTAGAAAATACAAATAAGTCAGAAAGAAAAATATTACCCCTAGTCCCATGATCTACAGATGACCTTTAACATTTTTATATAAATTTAAAATATGTGTTCGGATGCATTTATACTTTTATTGAAGTTGTATATACAGTATTTATAGTTTTTTGTGCCCACTATTTTTATTCACTAGTGTTACCATTTGGGTTTACTGTTTTTTTCACTAGTACATCATTTGAGTATATAAATTTCTGGATCATCATTCTTAATAGCTGCACAGTATTTCATTGTAGAACTATTATAATTATTTAAGTAATTAATTTAATACCCTATTGCTTATACCTCATTCCATTTATTTTTTTAATTCTGATCTTTTACTTTATGCCTACTAGGGACTCATGGCTTAGTATTAACTCAAAACTGAGTATTTTTCTCATATGAATTGATGATTATTTGTATTAAAACTAGAGAATCTAATACTATTTTGTAAGTAGTTATATGTTATATTAACTCTTCACAGTGCGTACACAAGGACTTTCAAGTGTACAGGCATACCTCAGAGGTATTGTGGGTTTAGTTCCAGACTACTTCGATAAAGAGAATAATATGATAAAGTGAATATTTTGGTTTCCCAGTGCATATAAAAGTTATGCTTACGCTGTAGCGTAGTCTCTTAAGTGGTAATAATAGCCTTATGTCTGAAAAAGCAATGTACATACCCTAATTTAAAATATTTTATTGCTAAAACGTGTTAGCCATCACTTGAGCCTTCAGCAAGTCATAATCATTTTACTGGTAGAGGGTCTTGCCTTGATCATCCTAATACAAAATAAGCATTCAGAATATTTATGGCTGCTTACTGATCAGAGTGGTAGTTGCCGAAGGTTGTAGTGGCTATGGTAATTTCTTAAAATAAGATGAGAATGATGTTTGCCACATCAACTGACTCTTTCAGATTCTCTGTAGCATTCAGTGCTATTTATTAGCATATTACCCACAGTAGAAATTCTTTGAAAATTGGAGTCAGTCCTCTCAAAACCTGCCGTTGCTTTATTAACTGAGTTTGTGTGAAACTCTAAATTCCTTGTTGTCATTTCAACGGTCTTCACAGTATCTTCCCCAGGAGTAGATTCCATCTCAAGAAACCAGTTTCTTTGCTCATCCATAAGAAGCGATTCCTCATCCTTTAAGGTTTTATCATGAGTTTGTGACAGTTCAGTCACATTTTCAAGTACTGCCTCTAATTCCATTTCTTTTGCTATTTCCACCACATCTGCAGTTACTTCTTCCACTGAAAGTCATCTGTGAGGGTTGGAATCAGCTGCTTCAAAATTCCTTTTTTTTCTTTTTGATTTATTTTATTTCTACTTTTTTTTGGAGCCGGGAGGTAATTCGATTTATTTATTTCTTCATGGAGGTGCTGGGGATTGAACCCAAGACCTCTTGCATGCTAAGCACATGCTCTCCCACTGAGCTATACCCTCCCTACAAAATTCCTTTTAATGTAGATGTTCTGACCTCTTCCCATGAATCACACATGTTCTTCATAGTATCTAGAATGGTGACTCCATTCCAGAAAGTTTTCAATTTACTTTGCCCAGATCCATCAGAGGAATCACTTTCTATGGCAACTACAACCTTATGAAATGTATTTCTTAAATAAGACTTGAAAGTAGAAATTACTCCTAAACCGATGGACTGCAGAATGGATGGTGTGTTAGCAGACATGAAAACAACATGAATCTTGTTGTACATCTCCAGCAGAGCTGTTGGATGAACAGGTACATTGTCAATTAGCAATCACATTTTGACAGGATTTTTTTTTTTTTTGACCAATATGTCTCAACAGTGGGCTTAAAACGTTCCGCAAATCATATTGTCAACAGATGTGTTGTCATCCATGCTTTGTTATCCCATTTATAGAGCAGAGATAGTGTGGATTTAGCATCATCCTTAGGGTCCCTAGAATTTTTGGAATAGTAAATGAGCATTGGCTTCAACCCCAAATTATCAGCTGCATTAACCTCTAACAAGATAGTCAGTCTTTTGAAGCTTTGAAGCCAGACATTGACTTTTTCCTCCTTAGCTATGAAAGCCCTATGCGGGCTGCTTCTTCCAGTATGCGGCTGTTTTGTTTACATTTAAAATCTGTTGTTTACTGTGGCCACTTTCATTAATTATCTTAGGTGAATCTTCTGGATAACTTGCTGCAGCTCCTCAATAGGCACTGTTGCTTCACCTTACACTTACATGTTATGTTATGGAGGTGACTTCCTTCTTTAAATGTCTGCTAGGTTTAACCTTTTCTTCTGCAGCTTCCTCACCTTTCTCAGCTTTCATAGAATTGAAGAGAATTAGGGCCTTGCTCTGAATTAGGTTTTGGTTTAAGGGACTGTTGTGGGTGGCCATCCAGACCACTGAAACATTTACATCAGCGGTAAGACTGTTCTGCTTTCTTATTTTGTGTTCACTGGCATAGCAATTTTCATTTCCTTCAAGAACTTTTCCTTTGCTTTCACAACCTGGCTGTTTAGCATAAGTGGCCTAGCTTTCAGTCTGTCTCAGCTTTGGGTATGCTTTCCTCACTAAGCTTAATCATTTCTAGCTTTTGATTTAAAGTGAGAGGCTTGCTGCTACTCCTTTCACTTGAACTCTTAGAGGCCATTGTGGGGTTATTTATTGGCCTAATTTCAGTATTATTGTATCTCAGAGAATAGAGAGGCCCAACAAGAGGGAGAGAGAGCTGGGGACAGGTCAGTTGGTGGAGCAGTCAGAACACACACACAACATTTATTAAGTTTGCCATCTTATATTGGCACAGTTCTTAGCACCCCAAAACAATTGTAATAGTAATGCCAAAGATCACTGATCACAGATCACGATAGCAAATATAATAATAATGAAAAAGTTTGAAGTGTTGTGAGAATTACTAAAATTGACACAGAGATACAAAGTGAATAAATGCTGCTGGAAAAATGGCAGATATACTTGCTCAACACAGTGTTGCCACAAACCTTCAATTTGTAAAAAATTCAGTATCTGCGAAATGCAATAAAGCAAAGTGCAATAAAACAATAAGACTGCCTTGTATAGATGTGCCACAGTTTGCTTATCCAGTCACTTATCTGAAAGACCTCTTGGTCACTTCCTAGGTTTGGCAATTATGAATAAAGTTGCTATAAACATTTGTGTGCAGGTTTTTGTGTGGGCATAACTTTCAGCATATTTGGGTAAATACCTAGAAGTACCATTGCTAGATCATTTGAAAGGGAAAGACTGTGTTTAGCTTTGTAAGAAACTGTCAGACTATCTTCATGAGTGGCTGTAATATTTTGCGTTCCCACCAGCAGTAACAAGGTCCTTTTGCTTTACATCCTCACCAGCATTTCATGTTGTCAACTTTTTGGACTTTACATTCTAATAGGTGTATAGTGATATCTCACTGTACTTTGCATTTCTCTGATGGCATATGATATTGAGCACCTTTTCATTTGCTTATTTGCTATATGCATATCTTCTCAGGTGAGGTGTCTGTTCAAGCAGGTTTTGGAGTTATAGAATGAGTTAGGAAATATTTCCTCTGCTTCCTTTTTCTGAAACAAATTATTAGAGAAACCATTTGGGCTGATGCTTTCTGTTTTGGAACATTACTAATTATTGATTTAATTTCTTTAATTGATAAATGCCTATTGAGATTATGTATTTTTTCTTGTGTGAGATATGGTAGATTTATATCTTTTAATCCAAGTTTGTGGGAAACTAATATTGTCCATAATATTCTTTTGTTATTCCTTTAGTTCTTAGGATCAGTAATGATGGCTCATCTTTCATTTTTGATATTTTCTTTCTTCTTTTCCTTGGTTAACTTAGCTAGAGGTTTATCATTTCATTAATCTTTTCAAAAAATCAGCGGACTCTAATTTTTTTAAGAGGCATAGAATGTAAACTGGAAGAGTATATTGCAAAATGTTAATCATCTCTGAATGATGGGATTATGAGTAGTGTTTCTTTTCTCCTTTGTGCTTTCAATATATTTAATATAGTTTCATAATGAAAAATTATTTTTTAATTATGTTACCCACTGTTCAGTATCTTTCCTCAAAATCAACATAGTTATAACTATTTTTGCATGACCTTAATGAAAAACCTAATTTCAGTATTCTACTTTTTCACTTTTTATTGAGCTTTGTTAATGAACTCCAAGTTTATCTTTTGATGTTAGAGGGTATTGAGGAGAATAAAAACATTGAAAAGAAGTGTGATTAGTTAAAAGAAAATGAAAGTAACATCTGTTGGACTTACGTGTTTTGCATATGTTTTTATTTTATTTTTACTACAGCCTTAAGATGCAATTATTATCATTTTACAGATGAGGAAATTGAAGCTCAGAGAAAGTAACGTGCCCAAGGCCACTTCTAGTATGTGGAAAGACCATGTTTCAGTACAAGGTTGTCTAATTTCAGAGTCTGTTTTCTTTCCCATATAGATTAGATAAATGATTGGAGCCTTTGACCACAAGAGTAATATACATGGTAGAAAGGTTGAACTTTTGTCATTTCTTTACCATCAGTTTTTATATATACATCACCTTTTATTAATAAGGCTAATTGTATAAGGTACATAATTTGACCCTTTTTGAGCTTATACCTTCATGTATTAAAATCTCAAAATGAGAGACAACTTATTTTAGATATAAATATCTGATTGATTGTGAGATTTTGTTTGAGAGGTAAAATGAATGTTTTATTGTAGTGTTTATTTAATTAAGGCTGGAAGGACAGCCTGGACAGAGGGAAGACATCTGGCCTAGAGTTGATTTTTCAAAATAGCTTTTCCTTACATTAGGAAGTATGTATGCCACTATCATTTATTTGGACTGAAAATTAAAAGTTGCTATATAGAGAGTAATTATTAAATGTTTGTAAGTAAAGTCATAGATTTTTGAACCCAGTAAAATTTAACAGCATTTATGTAATCATTGATTATTCAGTGCCATTTACTTAACCATATTGGCATTCATTTTAATTAACATTTCCTTGAATAACTCCACCTAAAATAACTAAAATAAATAATCTCAGCATGCCCAATTTTATTTTGCAACTGGCAATTGTTTTAATTAATCCAAAGTTGTCCCTTAAGTCAGCATATTTATCACTGAAACTTTAAGAAACCTTTCAATGATTTTTCAAAAGTACTCCTTTTCCAGACCTACTGTTTTTTCAAAAATCCCAATACTGCATTTCTTTCATATCCTCTGTTCATGAGGCCATAATTTAAAAAGCAGTAAGGTTTCCTTGATCTATCAAAATTATGTTATGCTTGCTTTTCAAGTCAAGTTTTTCTACAGTAATTCTGCATAACAAACAGCTCCAAAATCTATTTCATGCTTATGGGCAATCTAATTCACTGGACTCCAGGCTGTGGGTGAAGATTGCATTTCCTCATGACTTCAGGTCCCTGTCTGAAGTAATAATGGCTTTATGGGGCAGATTCTTCTGATGTTGGGTGGTGGAAGTTCTAGAGAACTGTGGGAACTTGCCAGACCTTTTAAAGCCTAAGCGTAGAATGGTATACTGTCACTTTTCTGTATTCATTTCATTGGTCAGAGAGCTGTGCCTCCCTAGTAAGAGACACTGCATGATCCTACATTCAAGAGTGTGAATATGATTCTGTTCTAGTAAGAGGGTTAAAGGTTGGAAAAAATTATAAGCCTGCATAGCACAATTCTGGGTTTTTAATTACACAGATTATATAAATACCTTATGAGTTGACCAGTTATTTACAAAAAGTGATCAGTTTTCTTAAGCAGGAATTTCTGATTTCTTAATTTTCAATTAAAATTATATGCCTTCTACAAATTAACCTTATTAAATTCATGTGTGATAGTATAGGATATAAAAAAAGACTGGTGACTACCTTGTTAATAATTAGCCTTTGCATGATGTTTTATAGTTTATAAAATATTTTCATATTTTAAAAATTTGATCCACAAGTAAGTTTCATGATGATATCCTAATTTTATAGACGTGGAAATTAGAACAAAAACTTTGTGACTTGGCAAGATTACAACTAGTAAATTCCATTCCATTTTGGAGATTTCAAATCTAGTCATCTTTTCATTATTCCATACTGGATCTTATGTTTCCATTCTGTGCTCTTTCCAAGTTTAAATGAATACTAGGAATATTTCTGGACCACTGCCAAAATCAAAGGGAGCAAGCAATCACTAATCTCTATATTCCAACAAATTATATTATCTTCTCTTTTGACCTGTATATCTGGATTAATTCAGGAGTATCCCAGGGTTTAAACCTAACTAGTATTTACTCATTACTTCAGAAAGATGAGTTTTTTCCTGTATAGTGTAGCAGAAAACGCATTCAGTTTCATTGTGTATTTTAAAAGTACAAGAGAAATTACTGTGGCACACCAATGCTTTTCAAATTAGTCCAGTTTAGCTGCCTCAGGTGATAATGGTTTATTTGAGGTTCTGTATATGAGTTTATTTGGGAAAAGAAATGGAGGGAGTTTCTGTTGCAAGGAGCAAATTTGAAAGATCAATCTATTACCAAGTATGGTTAGAATGATAATGTTATTGTAGATTAATAAAATTTCTTCATTAGAAAACATTTTCCATGAACTCTTAGTATATCACAATAGTTGAAATATAAGGAACATTCTTATGAAAAAAATTCGTATTTTATATTGAATAATATAACTTGTTTACTTGCTTTTTGCTCTAACTCTTACAGCAAAGCGTTTAAGCAATGTAATAAAAATCTGATCTGACTTTTTAGCAATGGATTTCTACTTTTTTAGGGGGACAGCATTCTATTTCCTCAAATTCTGAAGGCTTTTCTGGTGCTTTACTCCATTTCTCTGTTTTATGTTGTCTTTCATGATAAGGAGATTTTATTCCTCTTCCCCCATATCGTCTTGTTTTTTCTGATTTCCTTCATAGTGAGAGTAAAAATTAATAGATAATGATAAATTGAATCTTTCAGAAGGCTAAATACTTAAAATTCTAATTTTGGAGAATTAATTTATAACCAGCTTATTGTTCTTGCTGCTTTGTCTGATAATAGTGCAAAATTACTCTTCATATTCCTTTCTAGATGTCACCAGTTTAGTTTTAAAGTTAGGGCTTTTCTCCTTACAGTTAGTAGTTAGTTTTTTTTATATGAGCCATTGCTATAGAGAGGTAATTTTATTTATTTTAATAAAGTTAGTGTATTTAATCAATATTTTTCCCTCTTTTAAAGACTGTGAACCAGAAGAGCTGACTGACTGGTCTATGGATGAAAAATGTTCATTTTGTAACCTACAGAGAGAAGCAGTCAGTGTAAGTTTTAGTGCTGTGAAATTATTTCTAAACTAATTGTACAATTGTAACACAATTTTTTAAACTTAATTTGTTCTGAAAATATGTGACTTACAGTGAAATTTAAATACTTGATTTTAGTAATGAGAATAATATTTTAAAGTCTTATGTTAGAAGTCTAACATTTAGTTTAACCTACGGATGAAAATCCCAACACACTCATCTTTTTTGCTTATTTTACATTTCTTTCTTAGAACTCCCTGACTCAAAGTTAAGTTGCAGATCTGTTTTATATTTAGGAAGACAGTTTGGTCTGAGGCCATCCTATAGTCTGATTTCTTAGGAATTGGTGGTTGGAGGATAATGTAGCACTACATTTTAGCCTTTTAACTTTCTTATGAAGTCTTTTGGATATCAAATAATTATCTCCTGTGACATGATTAGTTATTGGTGTCTACAGTAAACAGGCCATAAACTAGACGAGCAGCATCTTCTTGTATGGTGGGAGGTCCTAATTCTTTATGTATTGTTGAGAAGAAGTGGGAACTTGAGAACTTGTACCCATTTTGGTTAGATTAGTGTGTAAACATATCTGCTTTGTTCTTAAAACTTATTATTGGCATGCTATATAGTGAATTTATTTAACAATATATTTTATCTGCCCTCCCCCCTTTTTGACAATAATTTTGCTTAAGAATAATGCTAATTTGGCCCTCTGTAAAAGATAAATATCTTTTTTCCTGACTCTGCTCCTAAATTTTGTGATTTGTATATAATTTATTTAAAAGGGAGAACAAATGAGCATTTAGAGAATTAATTTTTTTTTGACATTTTAAATGGAGTACCGTGTTTAAATAAAAAGTGATTTTTTTGTGTGTGTGTGTTGCTTTCTCCTAATTCTAGGATTGTATACCATCTCTTGATTCTTCACAGTCAACACCAACAGAGGAACTATCATCTCAGGGCCAGTCCAACACTGAAAAGATTGAATGCCAAGCAGAAAATTACCTAAATGCACTCTTTCGAAAGAAAGGTAATATTGATATACTTTGTCATGTAAAATTTTCAATAGAGATCTAAAATGTTTTAATTTTCCCCACACACGTTTTTAGTATGTCAGTCTCTACTCCATTGTTGATTATTTCTTTATCGCTAGTTTTTCTTTGTATTTTTAGAGACATTAGGATTTGCAGTCACTGTAGACCTAGTCTTCATTAGGCATTCCTTTTCACTATTCTATTCTCAAATCTCTCCCTGTCTTTATTTTCTTAATCTACTATAGGCAGATGAAAATTTTTAATGCTTCTAGTCTTCCTTATTTTGTTGCACAAGACTTGAAAATTATTCATGTTCAATAAGTGATATATTGCAAAGTTATTTTTAGAAATGGAACAGTTAAATCATTTACCAGCCAGGTTGGTAGTATATTTGCTGACTTGAGATTTCAGTGTTTCTTTGATATCCTGAATATGCTTACTTGACATTAAAATGTCAGTGTTCTTCTTTGCTTCCTGTCTATCTAAACTATTTAATCCAAATGAAGCTTGTTTCACTTGTTTCCTTGATATACATTTATTAGGCAGAAGTAGTTTTCATATCTTGAATTACTTGAGAAAAATACAGACATATAGAACCTTCCATTTTTTGTTCTTGGCCATTTCTGCAGTAGTAGTAGAGTGTATTAATTTTTACCACATAGACTTTTGGAGTAAGTCATGGCATGGGGGGATTTCAGGGGGGTGGTGGAGGGATCATCCTACCTCCCAGCTTCCAGAGATTGAGAAAAACATTACTGTGTTTTCATCCAATTATTGACTGTGCTTTTACTCCTCTTTTGAATTAGGTAATATTAAATATTTTCTGTTAAATTAATAGCTTCCAGGTTTTAATGAATGATGTTGAATATAGTCCTTCCCTTTGAGAAAGAAGGCTTTTGTTTAGTCTTAATGTTATGAGTTCTTTTATGTGTTGAAATATGAAAATCCTCTGGTTAGAAGAATCATCAGTATATTTAAAGGCCTAAAGTTAAGAACTGTATTTTAAGTTCAAGGAACTGAAAACCTTTTCCTGTGTTACTAAAGTACTTAGTATTGAAAAAGTGGCATTGTCTTTAAAAAAGTTATTTTTCCAAAATTTTCTGTGTGAACCAATATAAAAATACTTTACATGCTTTAAGAATTTTATAATATTAATTTTAAAAATTGTATTCTGTCTGTAAGTTTACACTTCTAAGAAGAATTATTGTATCAGATTTACATCACTGAGAGAGATGTAGGAAGTGTATGCATTTGCACCCATGCATGCAGTTAACTTTCACTCACCTTTGAACTTATTACTCAGTCTCCTTTGAATAATTTGTAATGGTAGTAGGTAGAATTATCAATAGTAATAACCTTTAATATTTGATAGTATGGAGTTAACCTGTGCTCCATTGCCCTATTAAGAGTAATCAGTAAAAACTTGGTACTATTTCAGCTGATTCAAGCATCTGGGTCTCCAAGAGGTCTCCTACCAATGGTTGGGTGAGTGTTCATGGATATTTAGTGACCTCTCCATTTGGGGATTTTTTTGATTTTCTTCAAGATCTTTGAAAGATCCCAGGGTTTTTAAATGAAAGAGTCTTATTAGTATTTTTGCTTTACTTCAGGTCTTAAGTATTTTTGTCTTTGTTAATTTCTTTATTTGTAGTCCATCATCACTTTCCAGATTTAATTAAACATAAATACTTTTCTACTTGTTTACTTGGGTTTGTTTCTGTTGTTTGTTTTTCATTTTCTTTGAATAAAATCATTTTAGAGATTTCCAGTATGGTCTGACCAGGATGAGGCTAGAAGATAATAACTATCTTTTAAATGGTCCTAATTCCTTTGTGTATTTGTTTATTATTTGTTTATTTTTTTTTAGGAAGTTCTATTTACTCTGCTTTGAAATAAAAGGCAAAAAATGTGTTTTTAAAGATAGGAAATACTTCTGAGACTTTGAAGCAAATAAAATGTTAATAAAACATATTGTTTAGTGAAGTTTTCATTTGATTCCTGAAAATTTCTCAGTCATTTTTAGGAATTCTGGATATTAATAACATTAATGTTATTGATATTTAAATCTGTTGCTTAGTTTGAGGAACATAAGCATGAGATCATCTTGCCAAAACAAGAAAATCTTTTAATATAATCCTCATTGTAGCTTGTTTGTTATCCTTCCTAACTATAATTTTGGGGATAATGATGATAAATTAAATGTAAACTATTATTATTGAGAACTCACACTTAGGATAATTATTATCATTGAAGTCACCAATTATGAGGGAACACTAGACCCTTTTTGTGCTTTATCTCATTTAATCCCAAAACAGTTTTAAGAGAGAGGTCCTCTTATTATCATTTTAACAGATAGAGACAATGAAGCACAGAGAAGTTAAATTCTGTGTTGTGAACATTTGAATCCTTGAAAGAAATTTTAAAAAGGTCAGAGATGTTCTGTGTGGAGAGAACTGAAGTTCTTTTAAGTATTAAGTAGAAAAGCCTTCCTATTCTCTACTACTTAGCAGCCTAGGACTAGAATTATTTTAATTGAATTAGGCAAACTAGAGAGAAACTATGAGAAATGCTCTGTTTCTCATAGGTTTCCTTTTCCTTTTTATGAACTATGAACAGCTTTAGTGATTAGTTCCTTCATAGTGTTTAATAATTGGAGAAAACTTACTAAACTAAATACAGTTCAGACAATCCCTTATAATGAGAAACGAGTCAAAGATACTCTTTCAGGATTGAATAAATAGAATCAGGAGGAGGGGATATTTTAGTGCAGAAGTGAACTTTTAACTAATTTTGTATGTTATTTACTTTAGAAGTTTTTCAAAATTGAATTCCTTCCAGAGGTTAACCCTAGAAATTGTCCAGAGTGCTAGAGTAGAATGAAAGCTCCATGATAGCAGAGACTTCTGTTAATTGCAGAATCCCAGGTATCTGGAACAGTACTTGTCACATCTTAGATCTTCAGTAAATATTTCTTGAATGAATGAATGAGTACTAAGATAAACTGTCCAGATAGCTTCCAGTTTCTCTACATACTCAGTGGTATTAACACTTACTCTGTTTGAAGAAGAAAATTATTTAGCATGTACTTATAGTTTTCCTACTTTGTACTTAAGTTTATTACTATGTATAGTTTGAATATCAGTAAATTTAGTTGTTTTGAAGTGTGAATAAACATAGGCATATAGATATAAAATGCCTTTTATGAGGTTATCCTCATAAGATATAAACTGAATTATTTTGACTTTTAGCTTCACATTCTCTAATCACCTAAAGTCGTGTAAATCACTGGCTTATGGTTCAGGAAGATGTCTCATCTTTTATTTTTAAATTAAAAAAGGCTACTTAACTTGACTAAATTGGACAAACAGTATGCACATTATAGCTGAATGAATCATACTAAGTATATAGTACAATAAAACCTTTCTGCAAAATATAGTTTGTTTTTCCTAGTTTATCTTTTACCCCTACATACATTTACCATTTATGTAACTACTGTTCTGGTCTTGTCTTTTCAAAGACCTTCCATCTGTATCTGATGAAGATAGTTGAAAGCTGCGATTAAACAGCCCTTTCCCCTTGAATTAACTGATAGCCAGGTTTTATGTAAAGTGTTTCATGCCTTTTCTGAACACAGACCCGTTTCCTTTTAAACTCTTCATTTTTAAGCTTTATACTATTGCATGAAATAAATATTTACACTGCTCTTTAACTAAGTGGATTATGACTGATGATAAAACATTTGATTTCTTAGAAACAGGAGTGTTAATATTTTAGATCACTTTTCTCTAAGTGCAATCATCCCTGACTATTTAAATTTGACCTAATTCATTCAGACCATAAGTGTTTCTTTTACAAGTGTGCCTTTGTGATACCATTGTGGTCATACATAGGCTTTCTTTTAATATGTGGGTTGCCTTTTTGGAACTCTCAGGGAATTGTACGTTAGTGCCATAAAGTAATCCACATACCATTATAAGCCACATTCAGAAATGTTCATGAAAAGATTTTCCTTGTTTTGCCATATACAGAGGACATGAATGAAATTCTAAGAACACACTTAAAATTAGGACTAGATTAAAAAAATTTTGCTTTTCTATTAAAATCACCTTTCTGCCTGCAATACAGCAGAAATTAAAGGCCGACTATGGGGTCATTCTTCATCACCTGGATTCTTCCCTTTTTTTGTCTTTTTTCACCTCTAATTTGACCCAGTTACAGCTTTACAAGCACCCACATTTTTCCCACTGTGTCTTCTGGAACTTGTGGTCTTTCATCAGCAATCCCCTATATCCTTAGTCTTTTCTCTTAATGTTACCTTTACTTTTTTGCTATAACTGAAGCATATATATTCATAAAAGATGCTTTTATAACCCTTTCTCTTGCTGGATATTTTTAATTCCTTGCTTTATGTAATGTAAGTATGATAAAATTAACAAGCAACTTCTGAGATCTGTATAGGTGCTTTCTGATCATTTATTTGCCCTCATCATCAAAACCGTCAGCTTGTTTGGAGCACATGACATCAAACATCCCATTAATATTATCATGTTGCAGACCTCTACCAGCCCTTTCACTTTCTTCCTCTCGTCATAGTTCTTGGTGACTTCAAGTTCTGTGTGGCTGATATGGTCAACATTCTGGCCTCTCAGTTACTTGATCTTTTCATTTCAAATGATCTCTCCCTCCATTCCACTCCAGCTGCCTTTTCCCATAATCATCCCTAGACCTTTGCCACCTGCCAAATAAAATTTCAACCATCTGTTTTTCTAACTACCATTTTATTCCAGTAGTCATGCCAGTATTTTTTTTTTTAACCTCCTTGCATCCTGCAATCTGTTGCCCATACCACTTCTTACTGTTTATTGTCTTCTCATGACTTCACATCTCTCCTTACTCAGCTCAGATACTGTGCTTGATCGCTGTGGTCATCTTTCTGTAAATCTTAACTCCCTTCTTCTCTTCATATTTGTTTATCAGAACCTTAATCTGTATTTTA